GGCTGCTGGAACGAATTAATTTCGTAAGTAGAGGTACCACTGTACCCAGTGTCTAGGCTTCTGTCCTTGCAGCATGAGAGAAACTCATTTTTAATTATTCAGGCTTTTTAACAGTATTTTAATTTTATTGCTGTTGGTTAACTAGATTTCTTTTCTTTTTTTCAACTGCAATTGTGCTGTTCTAGTTTTTAAAGCAATTTATTTTATTATGTTTCTAATTTATTAATTCATGCTGCACATTCTCAGGGAGAAACAGAGCATACGTTGATTAAATATCACAACAGCCTCTTGAAAAGAGTTCCCAGCATAAAGAGACAATTAAAAAGTGAGTTATGGGGAGGGGGGGAGGTTGTTTCAGATGTAAAGTTTTGTAAGAGTTGTTTTAGGGTTTTATGAGGGTTGTTGTTTGGCTATATTGAAAAATTAGGTTGCGATTCCAACACACTTTAATTAATGGTGCAGTCAATAGGTTTTTAAAAATACTTTTATTTACTTTGCTTTTATCCTAGCCTTCTTTCCAAGGCAAAAATAGCACCCATGCCTGCCCTGCAAATTAGCTTAAACCAGCCTCTGGTAGAGATTTAAGCTTACCCAGTTCCTAATCAGGAACTAGGCTGGTTCCTACTTAGAGACAGCATGGCATAGTGGTTTGAGTGCTGGACTAGGACTCTGGAAACCAGGGTTCGAATCCTGGTTCAGCCATGGAAACCCACAGGGTGATCCTGGGCAAGTCACACTCTCTCAGCCTCAGAGGATGGCAATGGGAAACTGCCTCTAAAAAACCTGCCAAAAAAACCCATGATAGGGTTGCCATAAGATGGCAACAACTTCGACACACAACAACAACATTCCTAACTAATTATCACTCCATTCTCCAGTGCATCAGGGGAGTCTGGGAGCCTTATCGCAAGAAGCAGGTAAATCACAACTGAATCAGTAGAACAGTGCCTTCAGCTGGGACCCACTGTCTTTCTGTTGTTCTGTGAGACTGTTTTAAAAGTTTCTTCTGATTAACTCAAAAAACCCTGTTAATAACCCCATTTCCCACTTCTGTTCTGCTACGTTTTCCTGTGCAAAAGTTCAATTGCATTTTATGCCAATTTGGGCTGGTTAGTGGGGTGTGATTTGGGTGGAGAAATGTAGTGATCAAGGGAAAAGAAGAAGACATGGAAAGCAACTGAGAGAATTTTTTTTTCTCTATAGGAAAAAAATCTATTGCCAAATGACTGCTCCCCACCACCATTGGGGCTTGTCAGAGAAGCCAAAGCCTTGCTCACTGTACCCCCATCCTACCTCCTTTTCCAGCCCTGTTCAAATTTCTGTGCCAAAACACACTGCAGAAATAATCCAGTCTGACACCACTTTAACAGCCCTGGCTCAGTCCTTGGGAATTGTAGTCTTGTGACACATGTAGCCTTCTCTGTCTAAGAGTTCTGGTGCACAACAAACTACAATTACCAAGATTCCTGAGCACTGAGGGCCTTTGCAGACTGCCAGAAATAGTGCAAATTGAGTTCACTTTAAGGGTTAGGGTTAGTGCTAGGGAGTCATGGGAATTGGTTTTTTCTGAGACATTGAGCCTTCTCTGTCAGAGAGCTCTGGTGCCACAATAAACTATAGTTTCCATGATTCCCTAGCACTGAGCCAGGGCAGTTAAAGTGGACTCAATTTGCACTATTTCTGGCAGTCTGCAAAGGCCTTGAGTCAGGGCAGTTAAAGCGGTCTCAAACTGGATTATTTCTGCAGTATGTTCTGGATCTCTGTGGTTCAATGCTATGATGGTGTGCTAATGCTTGGCTCAGTCTCTCTCTCTCACACATCTGGAAATATAAGAGCAAAAGGCAAAAGAATCTTAGTTTTAAGAAGGATTTATTTCATTAACCCTCTGCCTCTTCCTTCAGATATACAAATAGCTGCCACATGAAAGCCAGGCTAGATCAGACAGATAGATCAATAGTTTCTGTCTTTCCTCTGCAAGCAATTTGTTAAATCTGGAAAGCCTGGATTATCCTGATCAAGAAGCCCCCATAACAAGAGGGAAAAGGCCCCTTTAAAGGCAAATCTGTTTTCATTTATATTTTGGTGAGCATGCCAAGCAATGAAAAGAGGTGGGGATCATGTCTTGGAGGAGGAGCGGGTGGGCAGTTGTGTGAGAGAAGGTTTTGTAATCCTGGAAATAGTTTTGAAGGTGTGCAAGAAAAGAGAGCAATCCTGATTGAATAGCATTTTCACATTCAACGCTATTGCCTCGTATGATAAGATCCTGAGAATAAATAAGAACATTAGTGTTTGCCATCTCAACCATGAGCTTTCAACTACAGCAGCGGAGGTCAATGGGAGCTGTAGTTATTTGGAAGGCACTGTATTGGGGAAAGTACATATGAAGAGATCTTGTTGCACCTTTGAGACTGAAAGAAAGACATTGGCGCGCATGAGCCTTCATAGATTTAACTCTCCTTCCTCAGATGCATTTGTCCAAATGCATGGAAGGGAATAGACTTAAATCTATAAAAGCTCCTGCTGCCAACTTCTTTCTTTCAGTGAGTCTCAAAGGTGCAACAAGATCTCTTTACATACTGATTTTACAGACTAACACGGCTGTATCTTTGTACTTGGGAAAGTCTGTGATAGTGGGATCTTGACTCCTAGTTATAGAATGGGTAACCTAAGTTTTGTATCTCAGTTCAGTGTTTTGCTAAAACATATAATGCCACTCAGCAAGGTAGAAATCTTGCACATGTTTGGGACTTTAGCTTCCAAAGTCAGCATGGACAATGACAGGGGATCATGGGAGCTGTTATATAGACTAACTGGTGGGCCAAAGGTGGGCCATCCCTGCATTATCCCAATACAGATGGCATTTCAAAAGCCTGCAGAAAGACTGAACAGGCCTAACCCCAAAGTGGCTTCACAACTTCAAACATCTCAGTGACTTTGAATCCAGAGGCTGGGCTCCATCCCCTCCCCTTTATGGCGAAGGTTACACATTTTTATCAATCAGATACAAACAAGCCCACCCTCTCAACATCTGAGGAAGTAGACTGCATCTACCAAAGCTCGCGCTAGAGCTTCCTTTCCTCAGTTAGTGTCAAATGTGCTACAATATTTCTGTGCAGAGCTTCCAAATCGGAGTCAGTCAAGAGATGCACGCCTTGCTCTTGTCAAAGCACTCTGATAAAATAAACAGAGAGGCTATGATAAGGACAGGGATGCATGTGCACCTGAGCCATCCCAAATTGGGTTTGCAATCAGGGTGACCAGAGGTCCACATAACCCCAAAAGAGGACAAGGCACCGCAAAATGAAGGACCTTCCAGACCAGGGTGGGCAACCTTCCCCTTTAAGGGCCGAGGGACTTCAGCTCCCAGAAGCCCCAGCCATGTTGGCCAATAGTCCCATATTGGCCAATAGCTCCTGGGATTCTGGGAGCTGAAGTCCCTCGGCCTTTAAAGGGGAAAGGTTGCCTACCCCTGTTCCAGACAAATGGAGGACACGAGCCAATAAAAGCTCCAAACACTCATATACCTATAAATTCAGGCTCCAGTTAGCGATGTGCAAGATGGAAGACATTTTGGAATTGCTCCTGGAGAGAAGGCTGGCATGGAGGACATGTCCAGGAAAAGGAGGACCTCTGGTCCCCCTGGTGCAGGGGTAGGCAACCTTTCCCCTTTAAGGGCCGAGGGACTTCAGCTCCCAGAATCCCAGGAGCTATTGGCCAATATGGGACTATTGGCCAACATGGCTGAGGCTTCTGGGAGCTGAAGTCCCTCAGCCCTTAAAGGGGAAAGGTTGCCTACCCCTGCTGGTGTGTTAATGCGGTTTGACACCACCATGGCTCCATCCTGCAGAATCCTGGGCTTTGTAGTTTGGTGAGGCACCAGCACTTTTTGGGGCAGAGAAGACTAAAGACCTTGCAAAGCTACAAATCCCAGGATTCCCTAGGATGGAGCTGCAGCACTTAAAGTGGTGTCAAACTGCATAATTTCTATAGCGTAGAAATAGATGCACTGGTTGTATCCCTTGCTGTTTAACTCCCACAAGTATGGTGAAGGGTCTGGAAACCAAGCCCTATGAGGAACGACTTAGGGAGCTGGGGATGTTTAGCCTGGAGAAGAGAAGGCTGAGAGGTGATATGATAGCCGTGTTTAAATATTTGAAGGGATATCACATCGAGGAGGGAACAAGCTTGTTTTCTGCTGCTCCAGAGACTAGGACCCGAAACAATGGATGCAAGCTGCAAGAAAAGAGATTCCACCTCAACATTAGGAGGAACTTCCTGGCAGTAAGGGCGTTTTGACAGTGGAACACACTCCCTCGGAGAGTAGTGGAGTCTCCTTCCTTGGAGGTCTTTAGGCAGAGGCTGGATGGACATCTGTCAGGGATGCTTTGATTGGGAGTTCCTGCATGGCAGGGGGTTGGACTGGATGGCCCTTGTGGTCTCTTTCAACTCTATGATTCTATAAGTACTGTACCAGTGTGTTCCCCTCAAACCGAAATCCTCATCCTCATCCTCATCCTCATCCTCATGATGGAGGGGGGCTGGCAAGGGAAGCACCCAGGGCCCATGTTGACCAGGGCTGGGAAAGGGAGCATACATGAAAGCAACACAGAGGCACCCTTTGGCCGGCCAGCCAAAGTGGATGCTGGGCCATGTGTTTTTATCAAGTGTAATGTCCTCCATTTTCCTTGAAGGTCCTCCATTTTGCCTGGGACACTGACCACAAAACCTTGGGGGGGGGCAGCATTTCCCCCCACAAGGCTAGGCCAGAGAGACCCGCTGTGTCCTCATCATACAAAGAGGACCGACCAGTCAGGGCGAAATGTAGGACCTTCGAGGAAAATGGAGGACACTGCCAAACAAAAAGCTCGAAACACTGATAAACCCATGCTTCCTTCATCTTGCTCAGAATGGAGGGCGTTGTGAAACTCCTCCTGGACAGAAGGCTGAAATGTAGGACGTGTCCGGGAGAAAAGGAGGACCTCTGCCCACCCTAGGAGGGTGTCTCTGTGCCCCCCTCCCGCTCGGCCATGGAAACCTACTGGCTGGCCTTGGGGGGAGTCACACTCTCTCAGCCTCAGCCCCAGTGGCGCAGTTGCCAATGGCGCAGCATCGGGAGCTGCTGCTGGCGAAGGCGGAGTGAGTCAGCCCTCCTCCTTCCTTCTTCACACGTGGCTCTGTTTGCGTGTGTTTATTGGGGGAAAGCCTTGCCAGCAGAGGTGGTCCTCCTTTTCCCGGACCTGCCCTACATCCCAGCCTCCTCCTGTCCGGGAGGGATTCCAAAAAATATATATATATATGTCCTCCGCTTTGGGCATGACTTAAGAAGCATGGATTCTTCTTATCTTATATGAGTGCTTTTGAGCTTTTTAAAAAATGTGTCGCTGCCCTCCATTTGGTGTCCCGAAGGTCCTCCATTTGGTGGTGCCTCGTCCTCCTCCCGTGGGGTGCCAAATGGAGGACATTCAAAGGGCCTCTGCTCCATGGCGACCTTATCCTGGGCTTTTCTTGCCAAGGTTTGCTCAGGGATTGCGGGGGAGTGTTTGCCATTGCCTCCCCCTGAGGAGGCTGAGAGAGTGTGACTTGCCCAGGTCCACCCAGAAGCTTTCTATGTAAAGCAGTAGTAGTAATAGTTGTTGTTGTTGTTGTGCGCCTCCAATTCATGGAGACCCCATTAAGGGGTTTTCCTGGCAAAATGTGTTCAG